GGTTCCTGTCTTACAAGTTACCAATTTAGTTTGCATTGCACATTGCAATAAGGATCTAAGATGAGTAGTATACATATGCACTCCTACTATAAGTAGGAGTACATATATATATATATTTCTGTGGTATGAGCACTTTTTTTTTTTTTTTTAATATATAGAGAGAGATTTATACAATGCCTAACAAAACATTATTCTCTGCTAATCATGACAGTTTTCTGGTACTGATATGAGTTTACCAGCAGGTTTTGAACTGAATAAAACAGGAAAATGCTCTCACTTGTTTTAATTTTAGATACAAGTGGTAAATAACACTCTTCATTAAAGAATAATAGCTGCTTATGTGCATAATGATAACTAAATGCACCTACTTTTAAATTACTTGCTCTTTGTCTGTTACAGTCAAAAAGAAAAAAAAAATATTTATCTTTTTCCTTCAGGTAGGTCTATGTGCCCTTTCTTGCAATACATCCTTTTCAGAAGGCACCAAACACATTGCATAATTGGCATACATTTCCCTTAGTAGGCATCACTAAGTGAGAAGCATGGTAAGCATGCAAAATTTGTCTAAGACATGAAATACCGATTTTTCAAATAAATTGCATAAAATAAAGAGTAAAAAGTTTTAAATTTATCTGGATGTGCATTCCTTTCTATTGAAAGTAAAGGCAATAAAGCATATTTTATTAGCCTTTTACTATTAGAGTAAGAGCACAATGAATTAACACCCCAGCAAAATACATTTTCAAAAAGACTACAGAATCAAACAGAGATTGTTACAAAGAGAAAAGAACACAATCAATTTTGTATATTGCAATTGAAATATGTATTTGAAAGGTTTATTTTTTTTAGAAATGCACTCTTCCACAGCTGACTCTGTTTGATGAAATGGCTATTTTTACTCATTCTGAAGATTCTTCTATTGAAGATTCATCTGTCTCCTTTGCAGTTTTCTAGCCTCTCAGTCTCAAAGCAGGATTCAAGATTAATAAAATATGCTTGGCTGCTTCTTTCATACAGAAATCTACAGAATCATGATAAGGAGCAGTGGGTACATACGTTGCTTGTAGGTAACACAGTTTTGAAAAAAACAAATAGTATATAAGGCGGTATTTTGTTCACTATTAAAGGGATACATTCATTTGGGAATACAAGGTCGTGACTGTACTGAAGTCTTAAGCTGCATAATATAATCCTGTATTAAGCTCAGAATTTAAAGTTATGTGCAGGTTAACTTATGAATCACAGTGTAGAACAACTTTTTGTGCTTTTACTTTATTTAAAAAAAAAAAAAAAGAAAAAGAACAACAAAACAGAAAGAAAAAGAACAAAAAAAAAAAGAACAAGTCACTCAATATATTTTGAATGGGAAGCTGAAAGTATGCTTGCCTTGTGAGGCTTTTCATTTATCCAATTCTAATGGAGCATTTTCTTAATCATTTCTGTAATTTTTTCTCTATCTCAGAACAAACAGAATTTAATTTTACTACTCCCTTTCCTATTCTTAGTCCCTGATTTAGGTGTCAAAGACACATGAACTACCTAAATAATGCTTTGCTGTTAACTTTACTTAATATGCCAAATCAGTTTAATTACAGTTTCTATAAATAATCTATGCAAAATATTTCCCTGAACAGAATGCACTTTTCCTTCTGTATGTGGTGCATTTAATACTTAAAAGCATTAGAACAGATGTTAGGTGCCTCCTAAACTTGTTTTCAGTTTTCTTTTATTTATATGTTAATGAGAATTTAATTACTTCATGAATACTTAAACAACCTGAGGGTGCCTGATATCATTAGCTTGAACACGACAAGCACCTCAAGTGACCACATGGGAAGACTGAAATTGCTTTTAGTTTACTTGATGGCAGAAAGATGAATTAATTTCACCCCCTGCTATGTTCTACCTGTGACAAAAAAAAAAATAAAAATAAAAAAAAAAATTCTGAATAAGTAGCAGGCATTGCTTATTTGTTTCAGATTGACCAACAGTATGTGTGGAAAGAATGTGCACCTAAATACACAAATTGTTCCTATCTCAGTTTGCCTCACTGTCCTTTAATAAACAATCTGAGAATGTCTGTTACTGCATCTTATTTTTTCTTAATAGTTTTTTCATTGCAAAATTGCCTTCTGTCATGTAAATTCCTTGTTCAGGTTTTGTAAAATTATGCAGAACTCAGATACACCCTGAAGTGATCAAATTATTCAGGATAGAAAAACTGTACAGAACAAATCTTAACTATGTCTATCAGCAAAATTGTAATACAAGTGTCTTTCATGAATGTTGCCAAGAAAGAGATAGGAACTGACTTTGACCTATGGAAATAATCAGAGAATGGACAAAGAAATTGATATTCATGGAATAGGATTATTAACAAGTAGTAACTATTTTCTGCATGTTGTATTTGTGGCTAAAGACAATGAATGTGTTACTGGAAACCACATAATTAGAAAATAATGTTTCTGAAATATGTAGGATGCCACTATTATTTTGTTTGTACAGTTCTCTTTCTCATGATATCTACGAGAAAAGAGGGTGGAAATAATATGAGTACTAAAAGGAATAATGATTTTATTTTTAGTCTTATTTTCTGATGGGGTGACAAAGTGGGTTGAAAAACAGTATGTGACATCTTCCCAGGCTTTGGAAGGACAGTCTTTGGAAGAAATTGATTTCATTTTGATTCTGACTCTGCAGAAATTCCCTCTTCTATAAATTTTACTCCTATAAATGTCACAAAGAACATATTTTAAGTACAGTAGGCATTTTTTAAAATATGTGATACAATGCAGTTCAACATATCACTGAAGGAAACTTCTTCATTTATTATTCATGGTATCTTATATCCACTTCCATTCAGTGCTAAAGAAATCAGAACAGCATTTCAGGTAAGCACTGCAACAAAACTATGAATAAAAATAATATTCTAGTTCATTGAATTAATTTGTTATTTCTCTTGGCTTGGTAGGAAATGGAAATGTAATAGAGCAGCTTAGAAATAACATTTGACCAAGAGTGAGATGAAAGGGACAGACCATAAACACTCAGAACAAAGAATAATGATTTTAAAAGAATGTAAATAAGTTCCAAAAGTAAAACTGCTGCCATGAGGTTCTCACAGTAGCATTCAAATAGCAAGTATCTCACTGACGTTCCTAGCTTTACAGGATAATATAATCTTTTATCTGAAATGCCTGAAAAAAAATTCCTTATATTAGATACATCAAAGATATACTTGATAATCAAACCCTTCCAGGTTAAAAATAAAAGCTTTTTTTTTTTTTTTTTTTTTTTTTTTTTTTTTTTCCATATAATTATTTACCTGCTTCACAGTCATTGCAATCCTTTGTCTGCATATCAGATAAATGTTTTATTAACTACTCCCTAGAATCAAGATAGGTAAGGTACAAGATGCTTAGCTGCAGCATATCTATTTTAAGGAGAAAGACTCCAGTCTTGAAAAATCCTTATAAAAGAAGGAGGCTCATGACAAATTTTCCCACACAGCTCGTTTCATGTCTGATCCAAGACCACTCAACTTCATAATATGAGCTGGCCTTGAATACAGGCAGCTAAAGTCCCAGCATGCTTTTAATTATTCTTCTGATTTTTTTTTTTTTTTTCCTTTGGAGTGGTGATACTGATAATTTTAGATAGCAATAATAAGAAGACACATGGACATGAAAACTAGAGATATCTTCTCTCCACTGTATTCCAGTATTGCTGAAGAAGACTGTGTGACTTTGTACTCATATGTTGTGTGCTCACTGGTGTTTTCTTGTTGTTGTTGTTGTTGTTTTCTGTGACATCAAATAATTTTGGGATATGAAATCTTACAGTAAGATGAATATTTTTATATTAAGAGAATATGGGAGGTTAGGCCTGGAGAGAGCAGGATATGTGCATTAAGGTGCTGAGGACCATAGTGTCATCTATTTAACTTCCTAGTTAACTTTTGGATCTTATCTTTAGATGTGGATAAGCCACGTTTGAAAAAGCACCAGTTCTGGCCTTCCCTTTGAATATAACAACTAGTTTTCTTCAAAATAAATTCTTGCTCCATCTCCAGATACTGTTAATTTCAAAGACAGTATAGGCAAGGCAGTAAAAATCTGTTCTTTCCACCAACACTCTCTTAGCACTATCAAATACACATGCTCTAATGGCACATGCAAAAACAACTTAAACGTCCTTATATAAAATTAGGACTCAGTAAATGCCATATAATAGGAATATAGTCATTGTCTTCTGTAGGAGCTATAAGCAGTGTGGAGACTAGCACTTCTGCAACACTTTGCATGGGTGAAAAAAAGGTCACTGCCAGAAGCACAAATGTGTTGTTTTGGTTAATGGCAGGAGTGATAGATGTAAGGAATCTTTCAGAAGTAAAGTGGAAAAACTTGAGCATCAAGAGCAAGGTGAAAGAATCTGCAAACATAAACAGTATTCTACTGTATCTAAAAATGAAAGATATTTTTTCACCAAATCAGAAACATCTGATTATAAATCTTACTACCTCTATTTACTGTGCAACATGAAATGCTTCCTGAGACTGATTGTTTCTTGCTGCTCAAGCTGGGCATTTAGAGTAGGTTTTTAATTTCAAAGCATGTCCTTTCAAAGTCCAAAAGTATAACAATGCAAGTAAAGTTATGTTGGTGGGATTGGTTTGATTATATCTTGTGGTAATCAAGAATAATCCTCTTGCAACTGATGAAGAGAACATGCACTTGTGAAGCAATATAGTTGCCAGAAGTTACTGTAGTAATGTAGAGATCTCAGCATTTCCCACCTATCCTCAAAATATACTTCTGAAGCACGTAAGTCTCCCAAATGCTGCATAGACTACTCTAATAATATGTAGTCCTATGTCACGGAGTTGACTAGATCAATCTATGTCCGTGACAGGGGCGACAGGCCTCTGCCCTCCCCCCCCACCGCAGTCCCACAAAAATGGGAAGGAAGGAAGGGAGGAAAAGAGCAGCGGCAACAATCTATGGAGGAAAACTTATTTTACTATAATATTGGAATACAAGATAACACAATATATACAATTTAATTGAAATTGAGATGAATAAATCAGACAAGATGAGAGAGAGAGTTCCCGGGACCGATTCAAACCTGAAAAGCTTGGAACGGCTAGGAAAGCACCTCCAGCACCCACTGCCAGGCAGCAAGAGAGCGCCCCCCCACCCGGAAGGGCCAGATCCCGTGACTGCTGTAATGTACAGGGATAGGTACTTGGAATTGGGGCAGTGACACTTTAATGCCCCATACACTGCATGATGTTTTGATGTGGAATACTGAAACCCAAAAACAAAAAACAAAACAAACAAACAAAAAAAAACATAGAACCATGACATCCTATTTAGATGTCACTGATGCCATAAGATACTTCAAATGTCACTAAATACCTGTGTTGGGGAAAGCAGACAAGGTTAAGGTGCATATAAATGTCTATATTTAGATAATTGAATAATATTTTTTCACAGCAAATAATGTCAGTTCCCACTCAGTGACAAGACCAGCAAAATGAGTGAATATTTCCAGTTCATTCAGTAAGTGGTATTCTGAAGAGATGGACAAGACTGTAGCCAAATAAGGAAGCCCTTACAGAGGCAATATTTTTACTGCCAACAAGTACAGGATGCATCAAATCAACTCCATGTCTACTGGAAAGCAAAGCCATGGGTGACTTTTGACCACATTTGTGTGTTGCTGTAGTGAAGTCCAGGTACTGATTTTTGGTGAGGTCAAGTAACAATCCAACATGCTATGTAGATTTAATTTCTTCTCTCCAGCTAGCACCTTCCTTGTATCTGTCATAGAGGTGATATATTACAGATCCTCACTTTTCCCCTCACTTCTTGTGGTCTTCAGAATAGTTTGTTTCCCTTATTACCAAACTAAATTAGATTAGATAACTAAATAAGATTAATTGTTGTTTAAATAGGATAAATATTACAAATGCTGTTTATATCTTTGTTTAAAAGGCTTGTTTAGCTTAGACTAGGGACTGTACAGGAATTCTGAGGGTAGAATCAATGTTTTTTTAAAAATATAGCAGCCTTCCATTTTGACATCTGCATCAGAAGCAGTTGCAGAAGATCTCTTTGGAGTTAGTAAAGTGAAATAGGCACTGCTAGAGCAAATTCTTATCCTAAAGTAAAATTTTAAAATTAGCTAGAGAAGTCATACCCTAAATGTGTCCTCTTTGTTGATAAGGAGACACAGAAAATCTAGCTCAGAACTGTATCTTTTACATTAGATGAAATATCTTATACCTAGGATTAGGAATAAAGGCTACTATAGTGGTCAATACTGCTCAGAATCATAATCTCCAGCAGTACGATAAGCAAGAGGTTCTGTAACTACTTGTGTATTTAAACTTCCATGTATTTTTTAAATATGGAAGTAACTTTAAATTCATATGTATTTATTTTAAATACATATGTATGTATTTGCACTCAAGAAATCTCAGCTTTAAGAGGGGAAATTCCCAAAGCTGCTTGAGATTTTTGCCTCCAGACTAGTAACACTGCAGAGGAAGATACTATAATGAAGTTTGCTTAAGATGACTATCAGCTGGATTAAGCAATAACCAGTTTACCAAGACATTTGTAAAAAAAAGTGAGTTAGATTGAAAGTATTAAAGAAGGATGTCAGTTTGTGCTGGAGTGAAAAGAGGGTACATGCGCAGCATCCTAATGTGTTTTGATACTGTCAGAAATCCCCTCATTGCAATTTGACTCCTGTCCAGGCTGGGATCAGCAGCATCCTCCCTGGAAACTGCGGCAAGCAGCTGCACTCAAGCTAGTGAGGTAATGCAAGAAATGTTGAATGCAAGAAATGGGAACTTGCATCTCAGTTGTATGTGTATGGCCTCATGGGCTGTACACTTGTATGCGCATTAGTGAGGTATAAAATGTAATTTATGTGCATCTTGAATGGACAGAAGTCTGGAGTACCTGACTGGGGGAGGGATTAAAAGTTCTTGCTGTGAATTAAAGACAGAGTTTTAGGACATTGTTTCACAATGCATATAGCTCACTGATAGCTGGTTAATTACATGTTGTTAATAAATCAATAAACCACTCCTATCCTGATTTCTTTCAAGCCAAGTGTGCTGAACAGCTTTCTTCCTGCAACATATGAACTACATTATTAATGATCATTTTAATTAATAATTCAGATCTATGATTTCCACAACAAAATGAAAACGATTTCAGTCAAAATAAAAGTCCAGTATACAGAACTACTTTTCTCCATTTGAAAACAGGCACTAAAAGAAATTAAGAAACTGAAACTATATAGAATTTGTAAAAGATGTGTGAATGTATGAAGTACAACAGTTACACGCAATATACAGTTAAAAAAATATATAAGAACACGCACACACAAATACACACAAAATAAGAAAATAAATCAAAAAGCTATTCAATTATTAAAAGCCTCTCCATCCAAATAACTGCTTGTATTTGCTACCTTTGAAAACGTTTTAGGCTGTATTTAGCCACTTGTTTATTGTCAACTGTCTTAATAGCAATTCCTGTAGCAGGAATGAGGATACTAAACAGACAAGCTGTAAGCACATTTAGGACTGAGGCTTGTAAAGAAAAGCAATCAGCAGTCAGTTTTCATGCTGCCATGTTGTTCTGAAGACAATAATAATTTACTGGCATAAGTATTGATGATGTGCCAGCTAGCTCCATTCCAACATTCTGAATATTAAGAATATTAAATCTGCTAGCATAGATGACAAACTCACAGCAGAAGACATGAAGGAGCTTTCAAGATAAACCAGCTTTCTACTTCTTTATCAGTTAATTTATAATCAGGATGGAGTAACAGCAGTACTTCACTGTGTTTTGAGTATGTTAACACAACATAGTATTTTATATATAATCACACTCCTTATCTTTCTTAGAAATATTTCCTTGCTCAGCCCTATGGTGCTTCATACTATGATAAAATTCCAAGATGAAATCTGAATGTCTTTGAACTCAAGTGAAAAATTATTGATTCTTCTAGGCTTAGGATGACACAAGAAGTCAGATGTATTTTCATCTCCTGAAAATACTTGAATTACCATGATATAAAAGAATTAAGCACTCCATCTTAAAATTCGTGTTCATCTGATCCAGTGTTCCAAATACTGCCTTCAAATTAGAGAATATTCCATTGTACAACTAATTGTGACTCTTCATGTCAAATAGAAAAATACAGAATATTACAGAAATATTTATATTAAGGCTTCAACTAAAAATCAAGCAAACAAACAACAACATTTAGGAGGAATAAAAAAGTCTAATAGCAAAAACAATTGTAATTAATTTGCTTGAATAAAAAGTCTTGAAGTCTTTGAATTAAAAAGTTTTGAATAAAACAAGAGAAAAGTCAGAACTCTTGAATTCTCTACTGTTAGCCAATGACCAGTAAAACAGAAAATCATCTCTTTCTCAATGCTATTTGTTCTTCACGAACTTTGCTATGATTGTCCGCTGACTGTCATCAGACAAGGAGAATGTAATTCTTTTCTTTCTTCTTCCTTTCTTTCCAAAAATTTGTAGGCTAAAGTGCTTGTTTATGAGCTTGGAGAAATAAGCATGCGGTTCTCAGAATGGAGCATAGGTGAGTCATCTAAGTTAGACTGTAGAGCACTAAATCACTAAATTTTTTTTTTTTTTCTTTGCATACTTCAATACAACAAATTAAAGTATGGGTATTTTTTTGCTTGAATACTCAGAGTGAAGAATTACAGACAATGAATTATGCTACTATAGGCTGAATGATATATAGCAGTTTGTGGACAGTTCATAGTATAGCTCTATATAAATTCTACTGTTATGTAATTTATATAATTCTATATGCAGAAGAAGCAGGTTGGGGCTGAAATCTGACAAACATAATCTAATATTTTACTTGTATTAATGCTTAAAGTTATTAATTGATGGGAAGTTTCCTACAATGTTTTTCTTGTTTTACCTGTTTGCCAGCAGTTTATCTTCTGGCATTTCAACTGTATTGATTTCACATGGCAGTTGATAACTACATTCTTGCACCTTTTTCAACAAACAAAAGTAACAGAACAGCCATGTCAGGTTTTCCCGAAGCAAGTAATTGTATTTTAACTTTGATGATTGAGTTTATTCTGTCTTGTCTTCATAATTAAATCTTGACTTCTGCTTGTGTGGAGTTTATGACAGTATTTATGAAATACAATGGCTCTAAAAGGGGTACATGTGCATGACTTGAAATATTGAGAGAGTTTAGTGGGCCAAGAGCACTAAACAACTCCTTTTAAATAATAGTAATAGTTTTATATTAAAGCTATTATAATTAAATTTTATTAAAGTTCCAGTAGATCGTATATTGATTATGTATATTTTTAGAATTGTGATAAGATACCGCTTTTCATTTAAAATTACATCTGTCTTGAACAGAAGATCTCTATAACATTCTTGTCATGATGAAGAACTTTAAATTTCAGATATTTCAATCTCATCATCAGTATTTCCTGTTGACAAGGCCTCCTATCCTTCCAATCCTATCCTTTTTAATCTCTTAATTTCTTAATCTTCATGTGTTTCTAAAGTGAAATATCCCTAGCTTATTTAAAAGAGAAAGAAAAAAGGGGAACAAAGCAAAAACATGCTTAAAACTGGTAGACTATAAGGCATGGCAAATCTTAAATTTCTTTGTAATTTGAAGTATCAATGTTGGTAGGGAAAATGGAGAGCTCATTAATTCTAGATATAGCTATGGATAGCAAGAACATCCAAGTGTTAAGTCACAGAGGATCTATGACTTCGACTTTTTTTAGTTAGCTTTAGTAAATTTAATATATTGTTCAGCATGTAGTAAACTGCAACATGAGAGGTGCTGGATTCTACGTATGGACGAATAATGTCACCTAAACAGTATAGCTCTTTCAATGAAAATAAAGTAGAAAACAATTTATGTGAGTCAACAAAAACATACACAGTATAGAATCTGATTAATTATATTGTGTCAGAATCTGGTCTTGTACTCAACAGATGTGCTTGAAATACATCATTCCTTTTTTATTTATCTCAAGTAGCTTTAGGTGGCTTGATTTTATCTTTTACACCTATCACAGAATCATAGAATTATAAAATGGATTGAGTCGGGAAGGATTTTACAGATTTTCTAGTTCCAGCCCCCTGTTGCATGCCTAAATCAGGGCACTAGTTCACGTAGCCTGGTTGCCCATCCAACT